GGGACTCCAGCCTCTCTCTTATCAAGACCCTAGGCATTAGACTGGGCCGCCCAGATAATGCAGGATAATCTCATCTCCATATTTTTAATTTAATCAGACCTACAAAGTCCCTTTGGCCACATAAAATAACATATTCACAAGTTCCAGGGATTCAGATTTGGACATTTTGGGGAAGCCATTACCCAGCCTACCACACACACCTCCCCGAAGCCTAACATTGCAGACTGGAAAGACTTGGGAGAGGAAACAGTAATATTAGTAGCTAATTTTTGGAGCCCTTAGGGTGTGCCTGGCACTATGCAAAGTGCTTTAGGTGAATTATCTCGTGCAGACCTCATAGCAACCCTGTAAAATTACTATTACTATCCTACTGTAAGGTTAATTGCTTGTCCAAAACTGTACAGCTTGTAGGTGGCAGAGCCTGGGTAAACCCAGGTAAATTTGATTCTAGAGCCCTTGTATTTGACCAATAGAGTGTCTGTGCCCTATTTGTTAAGCCAAGATAACTGGAGTTGGGGTGGACATCAAGACCATTAGGGGCCTTGGAGACTGTGCCACAAGAGGTATACATGTTCTCCAGCTACTGAGATACAGGGGTCCTGCAGAGCCCGAGCTAAAAGGCATGTACAAATGGAAGAGCATCCAGAACATTTTTTCATATTCAAAAAAGAAAACTTGGGGTTACTCAAGAATTTCAAATGTAGGTTTGGACCAAAAAGCCAAGACCAGACCACTTAGGCTCACCACTACCTGGGGAGGGAAAGTGAAAAGTTCATTCCTGCCCCCAGACCAGACCTGCAGTTCCAGTCAACCTCTCAAAAGAAAAGAGGAATTCACAGTTTCCCTGGAGAGACATCTCAGTCAGATAGCTGTAGACCCTCTGAAACCAGGCCAGGAAGGCTCCGCGCCCTGATGGGCCACCAGAATGGCCCCACCGGTAGCTCAGCAGTTAGTCTACGCCAGGACCAAACCACCCCCACCCACCACCCCATAGCAGTTATGAATATGCAAGTCCCCATGTGCCACAGGTTACAACATGGGCCCAGTGGTTTCACCAGCGCCCACTTAAACAACCTCTTTTCCTGCCAGTTCTTACACAGTGAATGGTTGAAAATCAAGTGCAGTCAGCACAGGGTAGAAAGGGGCAAGCTAAATGATTGCTAAGCATGCCTATTATGGTGGTTTAACTATCCTCAGTATTTCAAAACCTCAACTGCTAAACAATTTAGCCAGAGGCCTATCTGAAACTTTCTAATGAGCTGAGTTGAGGCTATTAGGTTTCCCCCAGTCACAAAAAAAGGGTGTGTGGGGGGGGAGTAATTTGTTTTGGGTCATGAGCCCAGAGGCTAATGCAGGATAGCACAGTGGTCAAGAGAATGGATTCTGGAGCCAGTGGCTTAGGCTGAATCCTGGCTCTGGCACCTTCTTACCATGACTTTATGCAAGTTTCTTAACCTTTCAATGCCTTGGTTATTCCATCTTCAAAATGGGCAAAACAATGTTAGTCCATAGTCCTTTATCCAAAATTTGAGGAGCCAACTGTGATTCAGAAGTGTTTTGGATTTTGTGATGGTAAGAGAGTGCATATGCCATATATTACATAACACCCCCATGAGATCTGTGGCAAGTCAAGTATGGCCATTGTTTCCAAAGTTAAAAGGTATGAGTAGTTCTTACCAAGGAGAAAAATAAAGACTACCATAACCGCACGTCAGTTCAGACCAAGTTTTGTAGCCAAACTTATTAAAACCACAGTTTTCAGAGGTTTTTTTTTTTTTTGGAATTAAAGGTATAGGACAACATATCTCTCACACTTACTGCCTGCTATATTATATAAGAATTAAGTGAGTTAATTGACATAAAGTGCTTGGAACAGTGACTGGCATGCAGTAAGCACCATACAAGTGTCACATACAACAATTTCTACTATTATTTCCACCTAAATAGACTCAGTAGGAGATTATAAACAGGAAACTTTAAATGAATGACTAAATTTGGTTTGGAAACCTGTACACTTTGGAGATTCATAGGCAATAATCCTTTAGAAAAATTCTCTAGGGCAGGTCTTTCTGAGATAATGGACATGTTCTATATCTGCACTGGCCAGCCACTAGCCACAGGTAGCTACTGAGCACTTGAAATGTGGCTAGTTAATTTTTACTCATTTAAATTAGAATTTAAACAGCCCCATGTGGCCAGTGGCTACCATAATGGACAATGCAGCTATAGAGGGCTGGGTTCCCAATCTGGCCCATGAAAATCTATTTAAGCCATAACACAGCTAAATCACAGCACCAATAAACACAAGGCTGCAATCTGCATCCAGGGAGCAGAGAGGAACACATGATGCTAGAGAGAGTTCTGTCCTCCTTTTCAAGCCCCATGGTTGGCCCATGGCAAAGTACATCTTTGAAATCTTCTTCCTCTCCTTCTCCATTCCCCACTGCCTGATCTCCAGCCCTCCTCTTTGGGACTCTGCACATCTGGGTCACAGGCTTCCCTAAGACCCCATCAACAGCTCCCAGCCCTCCTCCAATAGCACCATGCTCCCCAATTACCTGCCTTTCCTCCCCTCAACCAAACCCCTACTTGCTCAATGCCAGAAATCTCAACTGGACATCGGGAGGAATGCAACTTCAGCAAACAAACTCACACACTTCACTGTTTCTACTTTTTCTCGCTTCTTCCCTGCTTCTCCTTCTGAACTTAGAAGCTCTGAGCATTTTGTTGTTGTTTTTCCACAGCAGAAGTAGTCCAGGGAGAGAGAGAAGGAGCCAGGACTGAAGCTGTTGTTGTCCTATATAGGCTGCTTGTCAACCAGGTGTGTGGAAAGTGGAGACTGCCAAAACACATACACACACACACACACACACACACACACACACACACACACACACACACAATATGGTCTCTCTCTGTGCAAATCCCTCCTCTTGCCCAGGCATGGGAAACATCCCCTGTTCTCTGCTTTAGAAAACTCTTCCACCATGCATAGTCCTTCTCAATCTTCCTCTACTCATTTAGAAAATTACAGGTAACAAATTACATATCAAACACATTTTTTAAAGTCTACAACAAAAGTCTAGAGAAGAATATGACTAAGAACGGTTGCAAATAGAAAAAGAAAAGCAACCACCTTCACTGGAATCTAGCTTTACCACAACCCACTGGAGTACAGAATTTTTAATGACACAGGTCAAACTTGAAACACACCCAAACAGCTTATGTTACTAGAAGGACTAGAAGAATATCCTTCCAGCTCAATCTCACCTTTTACCTGGTCCCAGGACATGGACCAAAGATGATTATTAGGCATGGCTCCTGGGTATAAACAGAATTTCACCTATGGGGCTGTAAATGAGGGATAGTGCTAATGGTAAATATTGTACATTTCTCTAAATCCCTTCAATTATATTATCTCCTTCTGCAAAGTAGAGATTTATGTTGTAGAACCAAGGTCTTAACATTTAATACTGGCCTCCATTTACTAAAGAGCCTTCTAGATACAAGTATTATGCCAAGAAAGCCACAGTAAATGCCTTCAGTAGGGGAAATGAAATGTCTGCATAAATAACTCTCATAGAAGGTAGAGTGCAGAAAAGGCCCCTCAAGATAAAATGTTGCAGAACTCAGAGGTGGGGGGTGGCTATTTCATGCTGGGGTTCCAGGGAAGGCCTCACAGCAACAATATAACTCAATAGGAAGGGTCGTTAGGATTTAGTGAATGTGGGAGAAGATGGGCCATCAAGGAAAAGGAAAAGATGTTCCACACGCCAATGTCCTCAGTAATTCTTAGAAAAGTATTCATGAAGACATGAACCTAGGAATAGTCCACTCTCCCCCCAGTGACAACTGGGCACCTGTACAGGCATCTATGGGGCCACCTGCCTCTGCTTCCCAAGTCAGACTCTCAAAAATTCTTCCCAGGCCCACTGATTCACACCTGTAATCCCCGCATTTTGGGAGGCTGAGATAGGAGGATCCCTTGAGGCCAGGAGTTCTAGACCAGCCTGAGCAACACAGCAAGACTTCCGTCTCTACAAAAAAAAAAAAAAAAAAAAAGAAAGAAAGAAAGAAAGAGAGAGAAAACAAAATTAGCTCAGTGTGGTGGCCTGGGCAGCAAAGCAATACCCTGACTCCAAAAAAAAATTCTCCCTAGTGGGGACAGCATTCTTGACCTTGGCTGCGCCCATTCTGTGGCAGTGGCCCCACGCTACCCCTACTAGGGGTTCCTAAGAGAAACACACCAATCCTCCAGGGATCTCAATGACCTACAGGCAAATTTTGCATAAGGCAACTGAAATTACAAACTTCTGGATGAAGTGAATCCTACTTAACATCCATCCAGGGCGCTCACTATTTAAAATGACGCTGATTAATCACTAAATGATTAATCTTTCTTACGCTAAATAATTGGTTGAGGCAGTTCAACTGCCTCATGGTTTCAACTCGGAGCAAGCGGGGAGAAATCCCACAAAGTTACACTGTGCCCTTAACTTTAGCCATGACCCAGGACTTCTAGCTCTAGGTTATTTACTATTGCAGGGTTAAAGGACTTCAAGGAAAAGACATAGCCATTCTTCCAGTTACCAGTGGAACCAGATCCAGTATTATATTTTCTAGGACTTGATGTACATAAATCTCTCCAGGAACAATCTCTTGAGTACGTTCCTTGAAATGCTGCTGCTAGGTACCGCCACAAAAAGAGCTTATATTTTTCTTCTTTGTACTGGCCACCTCCACACCGTCCACACCACAAGAAGCGGCGACCTGAGGCAGACATCCGAAGGAGTGAGGAGAGCCCTTACACGGTGCCACCCAGCGCCTGCGACGGCTGGGGGCGCCTTGCTCGGCTCTCCGCGGGAGGGTGAGGACACTCTTCCGCCAGGTCCTCGGAGCTCGGCTGCTGCCCTGGGCCGGTCCACCGCACTCAGACACAACCAGCCCATCTCTCCCCTTCTCCAGTCCTCAGGGACCGAGCGACTGAGCCGCTTCCTCACCTCAGCTCTTCTGGCGAGCAGCGCCGGCGTCCCCAGGCGCAGCGCCCCTCTGGGACCTGCCGTCTGCGCGCCTGTCGCTGGCGGCGTCGGGTGTCCCGGCTACCGTGAGGCAGCCGCGGAGGCGCCCACGAGCGCGCCAGCACCCGGCAAGCGCCCGCAGGCAGAGCCGGCGCGCCGCGCCGCCCTCCGCCGCGCGCCCGCCGCAGCCCCGCGCCCGCGCGCCGCAGCCGCCCGAGTACTGTGAGCGCCGCGCCGTCCCTCGTCCGCGCCGCCCGGCTGCGCGCTGCTCCGACCGCGGCGGCGGCGGTGCGGGCGGTAGCGGGGCCCCCGCCCTGGGCCGGGCTTTCCCAGAACTCGCCCGCCCCGGGTGAGAGGCCGCGAGCGCCGCCGCGGGCCTCCGGGCGGCCGGGGGAGCGGCCTGTGCCGGGCCCGCCCCTGGCTCCGGCCGCCGCGCGGGGAAGGAGGGCGCGGAGGGAGGACCCGGCTGCCGCCCCCGCCCAGCCCCCGGCCCCGGCCCCTCGGAGCCGTCCCTAGGCTCAGGCCCTGGCGGGAGCCGGAGACACCGCTGCTGGATCGCCAGGTTCTGGGGAGGGCGGGAACTCCAAACCTCAGGCCTCAGGGATTTAAACGCACATTACCCCTGGTTGACAGATATGGAAACTGAGGCTTATGGCGGTTAAATGGCATGATCAAGGTCACTCTAGTAGATGGCCGCACCAAGTCACAAATCAGTTCATTCAACAAGTATTCATTCATTCATTCACTCATTCATTCAGCAAGTATTCGTTGAGCTCCATCAATGTGCCCAGTGCTGTGCCAGACTCCGTAGAGACTCCTTTTGCTGATAATAATGGCAGCCATTCAGGTCGGTGGACTCCAAATCCGGTACTCTTTCACCGCTGAAGCAAACCTGGAGGTTTTCACAGCTGCCAGAAACTACAGGGTCTGTACAGAGCCTCCTCCACTGCTGGAGCCGTTTTTATGAGCAGTCGGCGTGAACCTGGAGAAAAATCAAATCCTCTTCCTCCCTTTTCCCTAAACCTGTGCCTTCCTCTTTTTTACCTGTTCTAATGGAAGACCCTTCCGAGGGCTTCCCCTCTCCTCCTGCATCCAAGCAGGACTCATTTCTGTGGCTCATAACCCCTCTCATCTGTCCTCTCCCTTGGACTAAATTCATCCTTCAAACCACAGCTGTATTAGTCTTCCTCTTGTACAAACTTAATCTATGCAGAAAATTTCATGGGCTCCCTATCGCCCTCCAAACTAACTCTCCGTGGCTGTAGGAACCCAACATGCCCTGGCTAATATGGGCCACCCAACAGGATGTCTCCCCCACTCCAGTTGTGTACCTGTACCTAGGCTGACCCTCCCACCCAGAGCGTCGCCGCCTCCCACATACTTTCTCTTGCTCAAGTTTGGCCGTTTTTTTCAGGTCCCTCTCAAAGTGATCCCCTTCCTTGGAGCCTCCAGAGCACAGGAGAGGTTGGAGCAAGAATGCAGAGGAAAGCCAAAGAATTCTGCCTATAAGAAAAATCTGCCAGTCTGGTCCTTAAACTGTTTTGCTGTTTTCTCACCACTAGAATTTTAATGAAATAAAATAACATTACTGCCTCCCTGGAGAGCTGGTTTCCAAAAGGGCTCCAAGGAAATTCTTTGTTCATTAACAACTTGGGATCTTAGCTCTAGAGCAATGGGAAGTGGTCATTTACTCCAGACCCTGAGTCTACATTGTCCTGCACAGGTGAAAGAAGGGGCCACAAAAAATGTAGCATCGCTGACAATAAAAAAGTGGACTATTTATTTAATATACAGTATTATATTATGGTTTTATAATTTATTCAATGAATCCAGTAATATCAAACAATATCAATCACCTGGAGCCCCCGAGGACTTGTGTTTTTTTTTTTGTTGTTTTTTTTTTTCAATTTGGCGCTTGGGAATTAGATTGTTACAAACTGGTGGATGAATAAGCAGTTAACATTGAATCCTCCAAATGAGTCATTGCACCATTAGTAACCAAGGCGAATCCAGGTCCACTGAACAGGAAAGTTATCTGAGTGTCATAATCAACGTGGCCCCAGTCCTGGAAAGGGGTGCCTTCCCCAAATCTTTGCAAAGAGAGCAGGTCCAGATCGGTGTCCTTTGCTCGCCCCCTCGCTCCCTGTCTAAATGAGATGGGAGGGAGTCGTGTCCCCGAGGCTGCCTCACCGCATTGGAATGTCTGAGCTAACAGTACTTCCAGAGGGTTCATTGCTCCTCTGAACAGCACTGCCCAGACTTTCTGGAGATTTTAATTCACTCCCCAACCTCGCCAACAGTTGCACACAAGGTGCCTTTTTTACACCCTGCTCTCTGTTCAGTGAAACACACAGACCATCTCTGGGTAACAATGGCTCCATTCAAGACTTTTTCAAAAGTGCACCATATAACCTCCACGCTGTGGGCTGCTGCCAGCCATTATCTCGAGGAAGAAAGACTGTTAGATAAAATGCCTGAGAATTGGGGAAGCCCTGGACAATTTCCATGGAAAATTCGGCTTCAATAAACTAAGTTATGCATCTCTTTATACAAGACCATTCTGCATAGTCAACGACAACAGCCCCAAGACACAAGGCTGCGGAAACTTTATTTAAATATAGTGCATCTATGTTTGAAATTTCAGAAAAAAAGCACGCATCTCCTTTGAGCCTGTTATATAATAGTCTCCATTCAGTGGAAATTGATTTATGTGCGATAAGTGTTGGGACTAGGAAATTTAAGTCATAAAATCATTTTAAGAAATGGAATCATCTCCCCTCTTTCTTTCTGCCTCCTCTATCCTGTAATTTTCAGATGAGGGGGTGGTCTCTGACTTCATGGTTGTGGCTGCCAACAGGAGGCCCCACACCCTGTACCGCACATATTACAGAAAAAGGATTGGCCCTTTGCCACACTCAGCAAGCCATCAGTTAACCCGTGTATAAACATACCCTCAGGTTGGGAACTGAGTAGTCAGTACAGGCATCATTGACTGATACATTGGTCTTTGTTAACTAGCTGCTAATTGTCAAGCAAAGAAATTTGCCAGCCAGCTTCTGGGTATCTTTGAAAGCCAAGGAAGAACGAAAGGACAAGCCAGACCTTAGCTTTAAGGGTCACCATTTCCTTCCTTTTGAAGTCACTGCATCCAACTATACCAGGCATACTAGCTGTCTGCAGATGAGCTAGTGAGTTTAGACAGTGAGGAGAGAGCCAACAAGCTATTCAGAGTTATCTCATGCATGAGATGAGATGCGCTAAGGCAGTTTGAGGTTGGTGAAAAACAACCAGCTTATTAACACAGTAGGTGTCTACCTGTGTGAGGCGGTTGGGAGTGAGGGTGAAGGCGATCCCAAGGGAAAAGTAAGCAAAGCAGGGAACGACGATCCTAGACGCTCTCTCTCCATGGCCCGTGCCAGGGGTACAGGCCTGGGTGTGGGACCACTTGAGTGGGAATCTCAGATCCATTCCCTAAGTATGAGCCCTCAGATAAGTTACTTACCTCTCGGTGCCTCTTTTCCTCTTCTGTAAACTGTGCCTACTCCTCAGGGTGGAGGTGAGGATGAACTGAGCTAATGCATGTGAAGCACTGAGAACTTATAAGGCTTTGTCAATTAAATAAATAAGACCCGGAACTTTTTTATTTATGCTTATGGTATTTAAAAGCCATGCTCTCCTTTGAATATTCCAAATATCTGGTGAATGTTTTGACAGAAATTCGTCCTTTTTCTTCTTGAAACATTCAGAAATATCATCATAATACCTGATTCAGAGTTGCTGTCAGCAAGAGGTAGGTCTAGCCCAAATTGTTTCAAGGAACAGATAATGAAAAGATACAAAACACAATTTGTAAAAATGTTTCAGCTACACTGGAATTTCAAGCATAATCATTGGACCTGGAGACTTCTCTACATGTAGTTTGGGTTTTTTGTTTTTCCTTTAGAGACAGGGTCTCACTGTGTCACCCAGGCTGGAGTGCAGTGGCCTAATAATAGTTTATTATGACCTCAAACTCCTGAGCTCAAGCATTTCTCCCACCTCAGCCTCCCAAGTAGCTGGGACTACAGGTGTGCACCACCATGCCTGGCTAATGTTTTAATGTTTTGTAGAGATGGGGTCTCTGGATGATGCCCAGGCTGGTCTTCAAGTTCCAACCTCAAGCGCTCCTCCTGCCTCAGCCTCCCAAAGTACTGGGATTACAGCGTGAGCTACTGCACCCAGCTTCTAGATGTAGTTTTCAAGGTTATGTATTGTTCTTCAGCAGCCAAAATATTCCTTAATGCAAGAGACCCCTAATATGATCATGAAACTCAAAGGAAAATAGTATGCACTTGAAAAACATCATCTTGGTGGGGGAAATGGGGAGATATGGGTCAAAGGGTACAAAGTTGCTGTTCTGTAGAATGAATAAATCTAGAGATCTAAAGAACAGCATGAGGCCAGGCGCAATGGCTCACATCTGTAATCCTAGCACTCTGGGAGGCAGAGACAGGAGGATCACTCAAGGTCAGGAGTTTGAGACTAGCCTGAGCAAGAGCAAGACCCTGTCTCCACTAAAAATAGAAAGAGATTAGCTGGGCAACTAAAAATATATAGAAAAATAGAAAAAATTAGCCGGGCATGGTGGCGCATGCCTGTAATCCCAGCTACTTGGGAGGCTGAGGCAGAAGGATTGCTTGAGCCCAGGAGTTTGAAGTTGCTGTGAGTTAGGCTGATGCCACAGCACTCTCTACCCAGGCAACAGAGTATGACTCTGTCTCCAAAAAAAATAAAGAACAGCATGAGGGCTATAATTAATAATACTGAACTGCACACTGGAAATTTTTTAGAATTTAGCTGCTCTTACCACACATACACAAAAGTGGTAAACTATGTGAGATGGAAATGTTAATTGGCTTAACTGCAGTAATCATTTCACTATGTATATGCATATCAAAACATCATTTTGTATACCTTAAATATATACAATTATTTTTTTCTAAAAGTAAGAATTTAGCCTAAAAACAAAAAAAGTTAATTTAAAAAATTTTTGACAAAATTTTCTTTTTCTTTTCTTTTTCTTTCTTTCTTTCTTTTTTTTTTTTTTTGAGACAGGGTTTCCTTCTGTTGCCAGGATTAGAGGCAGTGGGCA